GGTTTTGAAAAAAGTTTCGTTGAAAGTTTTCTGAATAACTCTTGTATCAGTCCTCAAGAGTGTTTGAAAAATTGTTTTGAAAGCTTTTTGAAAGGTGTCAGTGTGAAAAGAGTCTTTTTGATTTGTTTTTGAATAGAGGAAGTATCTATGAGTCATCTACCTACCCTAAGGAATTAGGCTGTGTAAATGTCCTTAAGGTAGTGCCATCCCACCATTGAGGGGTAGGTAGCACCACCGTTGGAGGTGTTCGGGTCAATTCGTTTTTAGGGACAGTATGGTCACCAAAGCAACAGTAGGATACCTTAGAAGCTACCCTTATGTCCTTGATCCTTTTTTTTAATCGAGGCAACCGTTTCGAGGCAACTGGATCATGGACATAAGGACTTACTAAAACGTCCTATACTCGACGACCACGTTTCGAAGGTAAGGCAACAGGTGAGGCGTACCCTAGAAGTGGTGTGTGTATTTGTGTGTTGTTTTCATGTTTAACAGTTATCTTTGATCAGGCATTGGTGAGCTACGCATTGTTTTTAATTAGCCATACATTCTTTCATGCAATTAGAATTTAAAAGTGAGGAAATTTAAATGCGGAAAGATAAATCCTACGCTATTACAAGGCGCGGGTCTATACATCGCAAAATTACAAAGACCCGTTTGGTAAAATGCGGAAAGTAAAAGACCTAATTACTATTACAAGCCTTGAGCAGTTACATAATATTCGAAAAGAAAATAAATGTGCGAAATAGAAATTAAAACTGACAGTCCGAGGGTTTTGACCCTTTTGAAATTAAATTGAATTAAAAAAGCTAATTAATTACTTGATTAAAAAAAAGAAATTGTTTTTATGTTTTTTATATTTATGAAATAAAGAAAATTAAAATTAAATGGAAACCCTAATTCTAGATTATTTTTAATTATTAAAGAAGATATCCAAGTTAACCTAATTTACTAGTTAATTAAATATACATGTTTTATTTACAAAAATATTTAGTAATTAATAATAATAATAATGAGAGAAAATTATTTATTAAAAAAAAGATGAAAAGGTCAAAAACGCTAATTCTACTTACTTTATTTATTAAAAAAAGATTAAAGTTAAAAACCTAAATTAACTAAATTAATTATTAACATTTATTTACAAAAAATATCTTAATGGTGAATTTAATATTAATAAAAAAAATAAACATTTTTTAGTTTCTGATTTATTATTGTGAAAATTATTTTATGGTAAAAAATAAATAATTAAAACATTAAAAAGAATTAGAAAAGAAAATCAAATAAAAATTAAAAATGATGCAAACCATGGGGGGTATCAGGCCCAAAGGGAGGTGTTCTTGGAGCAATTTTGGCCCATTGAACAAAAAGCCTGTTTGACTTTTCCAGCTTGAGTGCGTGTGGTTGACTGGGGTACACCCTGGAATTCACGTTATGGCCATTGGATGGGTGAGCATGAGCGCGTGGCAGGCTAACGTGTGAGGATGTATGGTGGAGCGTTGAAGGGATGCTGCATAGAAACACATTATAACAAAATTTATGAATTAAGTGGGGGGACCTGGGAATCGAACCCAGGTCCCTATACCTGCAAGACAACTCATTCACCAACTGAGCTAACGCGTGCGTTTGTAATGTTAGTGGAACACAAATAATATGAAAGAAACAAAAGCTAATGATATGGGACAAACGAAAACGCGCCAGATTTCAAATGCTCCAGTCATCCTAAGCCACATCCATCTTCTTCCTGGTTTTCCCTGCAATTATAAAACAAATAGCGGGGGTTTTAAACCCCCACTAAATAGCACAGTGCATAATAGCGAATAGGCGTACAGGTAACATAAATTAAGCGCGAGGAGATGGTTCGCTTCGTCTTGATGTCACGAATTCATCCACACAGGTTTTAAGGGCCAATTTTACCATATAGGGAAAGCCCTATTTTTCAAGTCCTGGAACCCTAGATATCCTTCAATGGTAGATTTGGTTTCAGGCAGAGTTAGGTCAATTAACCTATGTCAATCGCTTTAGAACATCATTATTAGTGTAAATCAACAAATAAAACACATGAATAATGCATGGAAATTAAAAAACGATTATGGAAAAGTTTGTGATAAACGTGACTCTATTCTACCAATTCTTGGAGTATGGAGACTGTAAAGTGGTTGCAACACGTTCAAAGAAGTCTCAGCAAGGGTTTGGAATAGGTTTTAGGCTTTGAAGGATCCTGCAAATACAAAATCAGTTTTCAAAATTTCTATGAAAAATTGCAACTTTGTTCTATGTTTTTGAGCAGCTTTTCGTGTATGCTTGCATTAGGTTAGGTTGTGCCTTTGTATCTGAACGTGATTAGGTCAAAAAAACAAGCCCAAGGTCCATGAATTGATGATTTGAAGATTTGATTTTCAACATATCAATTTCAATCTTTTTTCCATTGAAACTCTTGCCAATCATGGAAAATCTTCCCTTTTTGAATGTGAAACGATTTGCCACCTTGCCCTAGTTTGATTTGCTTCACAAAAAAGATTTAAAAAGCATGATTTGATATTTTCTCATAATTAAATCTAATTAAATGAATTAATAAGAATAAAAATTCAATTATTTAATTAAAAATAAGAAAATAAATCCCTTTGAGCTCAATGGGTCGTGCATATGCTTTGGGTAATGATTCAAGGAAGAATTTGAGGCTCATTAGCAATTTTGAAGCTTTTGAAGCAAAGTTGACTTTTCAAAGTTCCCAAAAATTTCCCAACTTCTCCAATGCATATCTTGCTCAATTTTGAAGCTATGAACATGTTCTTTGACATTTTGGAAAGGTATTGAAGTCCTCTAACCAATGCCTTTGGTCCCATGTCATTTTGATTTACCAATCTCAAGTTATGGTCTTTGACTTAAAGTGCCTTTTTGTTGACTTTTGAAAATGACCTATAATGTTGAAACTGATAACTTTTTATGAGAGCATTTCTTGGACTTGGAGTGTGAAGATGAGTTGTAGGAAATTTCATCCTCTTAAAAATGAGCTTTGGATGGGATTTTTATGATAAACCATGAAGAAGTTATGCCCTGGTCAATTTGCAGTTGACTTTTTCAGCTGTCCAAAAATAGAAACTTTTGCATCTTGAGACTTTTTGAGCCATGCTTTGAGAATCATGATCATGAATTGATAAAATAATGATTTTGGCTTCAAAATAAGATGTTGACCAAAAATTTGGACTTTTGACTGTCAAATGACCATTTTGCCCCTGTAGTTGACTGTGGAACATTTAGGGTTTTTGACAGTGCAACTTGATGATGTGAGTCTTGAAACTTGACATATGGATGCTTGACAATGTATTTAGGCATATAGGACTTGATTGGACCCTTGGAAACCTCATTTTCTTTGCCAGAATCAAAACCCTAGTTTTGACTGTGTTAGGAGGCCATTGGACTGTGCAACCCTTGAGAGATTTTGAACCATTTAGAGATTGACCCTGACAAATCTTGAAGAATATGGGAGGGCAAATTTTGGGGTACAACAGTTGTCAATGAAAGTCACATGAAAGATAAACTTACTTTGTAATAATTTTCTTCGTGTGATGGTCAATTTCCCGATGAAGTGAACAAAATACGACAACTAAATTGTCTCTTGGACACATGACTATTAATTGCCAATGTCTCTTGTACGTGTGTGTGGAAACAGAAAAGTCACATAAAATATATATGTTATCAAAATTAAATAATATAAAACACAATTTCATAAAAATTCTTACCCATGAATTAATGGTAGTAAGAGGCACACTCTGTTTTCATCACGTAACTTTTCTAGTACGTAATTTTTAACATCTTCTTGAGATTTCGCTACATTATCATTATAAATACACCTAGCAGGGTCCATAAATCCATATAATTCTGAAATGGAATTCTCAAGACAAACATGATGAATATACCTGAATAATTATAAAATAAACATTAGAATCAAAGTGATGAGAGATATAACATATTAATATAGATTGACTTTAATAAAACAATAAAATGTACTTACGTGCACCAAATTTGCAGAATAGACACGTCAAGCAAATGACCTAAACCCACCAATAACTCTCTGATACATTTAGCTGAAACATAAAAATTAGAGACACTCGCACAATGACTTAATTGTATTGCCAAATGGTTATCATCCATTTTGATACCCGATGTAAAAACCTTTTTCTCAAATGTCTTTTTTTTAGTAGTGCTAAGTTCTTAGTTAGATATATGAATATATTTTCCTCATTAGGTGTGATGAAAAATCCAAACTGAAGACTAAAACCATAGATCAATAATTCAAACTATTGTTTCCAAATTTAACTAGAGTTAATTAGATTCCTACAAAACTTAAAAATTAAGTTAACTAAGCTTAATTAACCAGTACAATTTTCTACTTCAAGTCTAATGATGTGATTCATTTAAGGGAAAGGGAGGTGAACCAACCCCACTCCACCTTTCAATCAACAAAGTTTATCTTCATCACACCTTACTAGGAACCCAACACATAACAATTTGCAAAACTATTCAACTTGTGCATAACTATCTATAAAACCAGTTGAATATATTTGTATACATAACACAACTAGGAAAAGAATCAAACAAAATCATATCATTACCATAAATATCTGGCATAATATAGACCGAGGCTTCTAATTTCATCATAACAAGCTACCTTGAGAATCATAATTAACTAACTAATCTAGATCAAGAGAAATAAGGTAACTAACTAAGTAGAACAAAATTATCTAAATATAGTTAATAATATCTGATTCTACTTAGTTTCTTAAAAGCAACAAACAAATGAACAAAACAAAAAATCCTAACATTGCTATATATATATATATATATATATATATATATATATATATATATATATATATATATATATATATATATATATATATATATATATATATATATATATATATATATATATATATATATGTTGTTACAATAAGCACAGTCAGAGAAGTAGAGCATAGTCAGACAAGTACAAGTCAGTAAGATTAAACACCATTAACAATAAGCTTGCTACCTCTCCTTTCTCGGAAAGGAGGAGGAGGACGAGGTGGTGGAGGACCCCAAAACACATCATGAGCCATTTGATTACCATTATGCATAAGATTTGGTGGAAGGTTATACATAGGCATTGAAACCTGTTGTTGTTGATGATGATGATATTGTTTCGTGAATTCCAAACCTTGAGAAGAACCAACTTCAGCTGCTGCAACAGTTTCTGAATCCACACCAGATTGTTGTTGAACTTGCATTTCCTCTTGATCACCACCTTGTTCATCTTCCAATGGCAGCCTCTCATAAGTAGCATTAGAAAAAGTAGCTGCAATAACCATCACAGGTCCATAAGCAACCAAAGAACCCGCCATAGCGCCACTAACAACCTGCCCCTGACCACCGGCCAAATAAATAGTAAGCCCGGTAGCTCCAGGCGGAGACGGGGAAGGCAGAGAAGCACCCGAAAGAGAGAAGAGAGAAGAAGAAGAACTGAGTTCGAATTGAGACAGAGCTTTAAACGACGGAGATGAGCAGAAACGGAGAATCGGAACGGGCGTGAATCGGAAATGTTGATGTCGAAGTGTTGATGATGGTGGCTGGGAAACAGCGTGCATCCACAGATGAATGAGAATATGAAGATCGATTTGTCGCCGTACAGTGAGGCGTATGCGTGAAACGTCAAGGATATGTGAGAGTATTGTACAGTGGAAATATTGTGAATTTAGGAATTAAGGGTTTGGAACCTATTACATCGGTGGAACCTATTACCCAATGTAAGGGTTTGGAACCTATTAAGGCTATTACATCGGTGGAACCTATTACCCGATGTAAGGGTTTGGAACCTATTACATCGGTGGAACCTATTACCCGATGTAAGGGTCGTGTGACTATGATGTTTTTTACATCGATTATTTGGAGGACCGATGCAAGCGTCTTTTTATTAGTTTTTTACATCGGTTTAAAATATGCCCCGATGTAATTTTTTTAATATATTTTATATATAAACAATCTTTCTGTGAACCTATTACATCGGTTTTTAGTTAAACCGATGTAATATCTTACTTGTTTTTTATTTACAGTTCTGCCACCTTGTTTCTTATTTACAAAAATGTCACCATATTTTTTTCTGAAAACCTTTTACATCGGTGGATGAGATTGCCCGATGTAATAGGTAGCGGAATATATATATTTTCTTATTTTTTATATCATTGCAAATAAATACCTGATGTAAAAAGTTTGTTAATTGTATTTTTTACATCATATATTTTGATACCCGCTGTAAAAACCTTTTCTCAAATGTCTTTTTTTAGTAGTGTTACGATGAGAACAAAATGAGACCTTAAATCAAATAGAAATAGTGTAATGTTACATAAATTATATTTATAAAAACCATATATCTTGTAAAATAAAGGAAGGGATTCATATTTGAACAAAATAATTAAAATTGAAAAGGAAGAGATTCATATAATCTTCAACATAAACCGAAAACAACACATTGAATCAAAATCTATTTGAAAATATATATTACCATTTATTTTAAACGTATAAAATCAACAACACCTTATCATGTTCTGAAATTAGCATCAACAACCAAACGATTATCTATTTTTTTGGTTCCACCACCATTATTTCCTCCAACATCCCGAGTTGCTTCAATAGTTGTGTTCTCGTGCAACGCCTTTGCACCCCTACCCATGAAAAAACAACAAATATTCAAGTTAGTACGATCAAAACATTACATAAATATAAATAAACTAATTGAGCCCTTATAAATGATTTTCCCTTATAACCATGACTCTAGATTGAGCCCTTTCACGATATTAGAGTAACATGATTCCAATGCAAAACAATAACCTTTGAGCTGCTACACATTAATCCATTGAAATTGATTGTAATAATTAATGCAATGTTTAAACCTTTGAGCTGCTACACTTTAATCCATTGAAATTGGCTGTAAAAATTAATGTAATGTTTAATTAGGTTAGATAATTAGGATAAATAATGATTAAGTTATGTAACTATTTTTAGGGGCATGAAAAATATTATCTAAATTGTTCTAGTTTGACTAATTAGGTCATTTTGGTGGTAATTAGTTTTATCATATTAAAAGTAGATGAATTAAGTAATAAATAGTTGTATCAATCATCAATTAAATCTAAAGGTGAGAATATGTCAGACCAACTAACAGAGGCCTACGACTTAGCCTACACAGACCAAGGTCAGACCAGACATTTTTTTAAGTAGAAAAGAGTTAAGATTTTTTATAAGCTTATTTAGTTAAATAGGCTAAGCCTCAGATCATAAAAAAAGTCTTTTAAGCCTATTCGGCCGATCTATTATAATAAATATGAATAAGTTTTTATTATTTTTTATATTGTATTGTGTACTTTATATTAAAATACAAAAAAAAATAGTTATCTTAAAGAACATGTGAAAATAAGTTGCAAAAATCTTATGAATAATGACATAAGTTTTTTTTCATGTGTTCTCTCAAACAAATAATCTCACAAAACTTATGCTATTATGTAAGCTCAAATGAGTCAATATAAACAAATATTTAGTCTCATTATACTTGTTCAAATGATATAGGTTTTTAAGCAGACTAATAGGTTAATCAGACCTTTGAAAAGGTCGGACTCAAGCCAAAAGATAAGCCTATAATGGACCATAGACTTTAAAATATTTAACTCAGGTTATTTCTACCCCTAGCTACAACATTAAAAACTAATTTAACCATTACTATTTTAGCTATCTGTATGGAAATTAAAAAATCAGATCTAAAAATACTGAAAATCAAAATTAAAAAACGAAAAATTATTAATAAGGGAAACTGTGATTGGTGGGAAAGAGAACTGATTATTTTGGAATGTTGGTTCGTGTTTTGCGTTTGTTTTCGCAAAATGTCGCGGTATGCAAGAGTCGCCACCGTATTTTATTTTATCCAACAAGGAAAGGAAAAAAGCACAGAAAAATTCCTTTTTCGAGATGTTTCTTGGGTTCGGGAGGTAGATTATAGAAAGGGAAGGTGTTAGCACCCTTTCTATCTGTGGTTATCCACGGGCTCTTAGGTACTTGCTCATTGTGTTTTCAAAAATTGCTTTTCTTTGTGTTTGTGGGTTTGAAAGAAGTTTTTGTTTGAAAGGTGTGAGTGCGAAAAGTTTTGTTTTGTTTTAAAAGGAGCAATTACTTAAGAACCATCTACCTACTCGAAAAAGGAATTAATGTGTACAAATGTCCTTTAGACAATGTTATCCCACTATTGATGAGTAGGAAGCATCGTCGTTGGAGTTTTAGGGTCAATTCGATTAAGGGACGTGTGGTCATTAAAGCAATATTAGGACGTCTTAGCGGTAACCCTAATGTGAATTTTTTTTATTAATAACCATGTATTAAAATAATATTTCGCAAATAACCGGGTTTCGGAAAAAATTACGCAAATAACCATGTTTGAGATGGCTCCACAAAGGAGGAGCCATCTCACTTGGCGCATGCACCTAGGGTTTTGCCCTAGGTGCCATCTCACTTGGCGCCTCCCTTGGCTATTATCCAAGTGAGATGGCGCATGCTCCTTAAAAATGAGAGGAGGCACCATCTCACTTGGCGCCTAGGGCAAACTAGGGCAAAATGCTGTTTTATAAATAATTCGTCCGTTTCTTTGAAATTTCTCACACTTTCTCGCACTGTATTTTTATTTTGTACTCCGTTATTTTCGTAATGACGTCGCCTATGATTTTTAGCAGAGATGGTTACATTATATTCTCCGCCACGAAACCTGCGATGAAAATGAAATTCTGGCACATTCACTCCATGGAGCGTCTGAAGCGGGAGTTGATGCGGTGGCTAGATGGAGACATCGCGGAGGGGAAAAAATTCGAAGGATCCAGCGAAAACGAACAACAACCTCACATGCGACAGGAAGACCTATTGTGTGGTTGGAGGAAGTCAAAACAGACAGTGATGTAATGCTGATGATGCATGGGTCAGATGAAATTGTGTTAATAGTTGTAATTTCCTAGATTGAATATCGTTAATTATTGTTGTACGCGTTTTATTAACTGTAGCAAAATTTGTTAACGGAAAACCCTAATGTTTACAACACAAATATTGAAAAGATTTATTGTATTACAATATTTATGTGGTCGAGCCAGACGCCCGACTCGGACAGTTTTTGCGATTGTGTCCGACCTGACGGCATAAACCACACTTTCTTTCCAACCTGTCAAGATCGTCCATTTCTGTTGTGATGCGCCTACTTTTGGGACGACCCTTCTTGTTCCTTCGCATTTGGTCATTGTGCCAAACTATATCATCGTTGTATTCAGGCCAGTAATCCGGTTTTGCCACCAAAGGAAAGTTGTTGTTGTAAACAGTGAGCAACGTTTCAGATTTGTAAACGTTTGACAGCAGTTGAAGCGCGTCTTGATGGGTATGAGCACAAGCGGCAATGACATGAGAGCAAGGCATACAAAATGCTTGAAACCTGCCACAATCGCACCATTGAGAAGGTAAAATGACCCTGTATTCTTGTCTTGGCAGGCCTTCATTGTGGTCGATTGTCTCTTTCACAATGAAGTTGTGGCTGTGTCGGTCAAACCGTGTAACCATGTGAGTGTTGGCTTTAGCACTTTCAGCCTTAATGTATTTCATGCAGCTTTCACTCCATAGTTGTCCTGATTGCAACACCGCATTCCACATTTCACCTCTTTTGGCAAATAACGCAGCCATCCTAAAATACGTAGATTTTACCAAGGCAATGATTGGGAGGTTTCGTATGCCCTTGAATACCCCATTCATTGATTCAATAAGATTCATTGTCATATGCCCCCATCTTTGGCCATTGTCGTATGACCTAGTCCACTTTTCCACCGGAATATTGTCGATCCACCTACCGGCTTCTGGATTAGACAAACGGATCTCGTTGCAGTAATATTTGAATGTGGGTTGTGTCAATGCATATCCCGCATTCATAACCGCTTTCCTCAATGTTTTGTCCTTGACCTCCCTCGAGAAATTCTGGACGATATGCCTGACGCAATAGACATGCGTAGAAGGAGGGTCATGCCAACCATTTGCTGGATTATTGTAGGCACTTTCAATGGAGGCATGTCTGTCCGAGATCAAACAGAGATCTGGTTGAGGAGCCACGTGTGTCCGAAGATTTTTCAGGAAAAAGCTCCAAGCACCACCGGTCTCTCCCTCCGCAAGGGCAAACGCAACGGGGAAAATGTTGTTGTTGCCATCTTGTGCAACTGCCATCAATAGCGTGCCTTTGTACTTCCCATACAACCAAGTCCCGTCAATTTGTAGAATTGGTTTGCATGATGCAAACCCTGTGATGCATGGTTGAAATGCCCAAAACACGCGACTGAATATTTCGTTGCCATGCAGTAGACTACCATCTTGGGCGTACGCTGGCAATGTTTCCAGAACATAAACACTACCTGGAGAATATGTCTTGAGTGCATTCAGGTAGCGGGGAAGTTCTCGGTATGACTCCTCCCAGTTTCTGTACACCCTTTCAATCGCCTTAGTCTTTGCTAACCACGCCTTACGGTAAGACGGAGTGTAGTTAAAAACCGTGGTGATGTGGGAGATGATTGTTTTCACCTTCAAA